ACTGTTTAAGAGAGGCCTACTCGAGGCTGCCGCCGAATGCTGCAGATATAAACCGGTTGGCCTGCCGCCTGGAAGTCAGCAAAGATCGTCATGGTAGACACGAGAGGTACAACTGGCAGTTAAAGAGAAGAAAGTAGCATTCAAGAAATGGCTTGGAAACAAGGAGCCATCTACTCGCGTGCGATACTTCGAGGCACGCAAGGCGGCAGCCATAGCAGTGGCAAAAGCGAAAGCTGATTCTTGGGAGAAGTTCGGTGAGGCGTTGGAGTCGAGTTTCCACGCAACGAACAAGATATTGTGCCATACCATCCGCCGGCTTCGATGTCAAGAAGGAAGATGTGAAGAAGGACAGTCTAAGAGTCGTAAGCCACTGATCTGAAAATCCTCTTACCAAGAAAGAGGACACTGTTAGACCATGAAGAGGCTAGTCTCATGAACTCTGTAATCCAGAACAACTGTAAGAAAACTAGCTAGAGGAACACCAGGGAACGGACATTAGTCTTTCTGTAGATGAAATTACTCAAGCAGTAAAAAGCTTAAAAAGTGGAAAGGGTGCTGGAATTTAAGAAATCCGTCCTGAAAAGTTGAGAGCTTTGGAAGAACAAGGCGTGAGTTGGCTGGCAGGTGTCTATCAAACCGCAGTGGCTAACGGGAAGACACTAGTGGACTGGAAAACGGAGGTCTGTCTCCCTATTCCAGAAAGGAAAACACAGGGTGTACAACAGTTATCAGGGTAGTACCTTATAGAATTTCCCTGGTAAAGTCTAGGCAAGGGTGCTTGAAAGGAAATGCCATACAATAAGCGACTAAAAGAGAGAAGAAGAGCAGTACCGCTTGCGACCATGCCGAAGAATATTTGATCAGATATACCAGACTGGTGAAAAATCGCAGCAGTTTGTCCATCCTAGAAAAAGCCTATGACCGGATACTGCGCGACAGCCTGTCGGCATGCCTGCGAACGGATGGGATCGACAGGCAGTTGCTAAGGGTCATTAAATCACTATATGCTGATTGCAGATGGTCCGTCAGAGTAAACGGCGTTAAGTCGAAGCCTTTCAACGCTGGCACTGGTCTCCGCCTAGGCTGCTTCCTGTCCCCTGTCCTGTTTGTGTTGCACATGGATTGAATAGGCAGGTGGAACTAAGGTGATGAGTGTATTGATGTACAAGATTCAAGAGAAGGTTGCTGTTTGCAGACGACCTTATTTTATTAGCATCTTCTGAAACTGATCTTCAGTGCTCCTAATTAAAGTAGCCAGTGGCGATCTGCGTGAACTAGCCCGATCCACTGTGACTAATGCAGAGCTGAGTCTGAAGATTAAGCTCTCGGCACTCAAGTCGATTTTCGTCCTCATGCTTATCTACGTTCATGAGTCGTGGAGCAAGGGTGAGAAACTTCGATCCCGGATGCAAGCGGCTGAAATGGGTTTTCTGAGATGAGTTACTTGCCTTTCACGTCTCGACATGGTCTGGAATACAGACATCCGCGAGAAGCTTGATATACAGCCATTGTTTCTTAAGTTCGAGAAGTCACAGCTGAGATGATTTAGCACATGCTGTGAGGGCCTGGAGAAAAGAAAGCGAAGCTCACTACTTTTTGCCTAGCTGACAGGCAGAAGACACAAGAAACGGCCAAGATTAACCTGGTGCAAATATATGGAAGGAGTTTGTTCCAGACTCCAGCTGTCTTCAGCCGAAGCTCAGACTCTGGCACAGGGTCGAGGACGTTGGAAGCAAGCTGTTTGAAGACGCGTCTGCCTCCTGAAGCCGAAAGGAGAAGCGGTCATGAAAGATGTAGATAATTAGGACGGATAGTGTCATGACGTGGCTTGAATCAGTGAAGAATGGTGGGCGTGTTACGGCTGGTATGATTCGTTACCGATTACTGGCCGGTCGATGTACGTTGATGCAAGTGATGTAAGTGGGGAAACGCTGAACTGTTTTAAATGATGTAAAACTAAAGCGCAAGAATGCTAAGAACATCTAGAAACGTCGCTTTTTTGCTGCAGGTAACTGCCATCACGAGATTAGGCTTACGGTAGGCATTTCGTAAGTGAAATTATGATTTCAAGCCTAGAGTTTTTTTCTCTAGCGAATATTTTCCTGATTCACGGTTAGGAAACACAATGGAGAAAAGATGGTAAAGTTCCAATTTTTAAAATTACCCATATGCTCTCACAAATGGCAAATTCTAATTTCGTCGGTAAAGAAATTAAGTCACATGGTTTTATCAGATTTACAGGGCGTAAACGCACTGTCCCCTTTTTTCTACATGCTTACGGGGTACCCCACTTAAGCAAGTCACGTTTCCGTGGTATTTGAACGCCTTCTGTTTACATACTCTGCTCCACCTGAAACACCAGTATGCAAGGGAGCAGGAATGTAGCTGGTATGATTGCCGTTGGTGAATTTTCCGCGCCAAACCTGGTAATTGGTGTGATTAAGTATGACGTTTTCTGACATGTGCGCAGAGCGGCTAAATAACTTACAGGCACCCGCAATCTTGATGGTTTGATGGACAGTTTGAACTGAAACACTTTACAGCAAAGATACAGGAAGCGCGGTTAAAATTAACTGCTGGCAAGTGAAATACGAATGATTTGATTAAGTTGATACCACAGAGCTGCTGTGAGATTTTATACTTGTATTTGTAGGTCAGTTTGCGAGTACTCGCGTCGTATACTTACCGAAGTCCAAGGCCCAGGGGACCACTCGAAGGGACACTGGTCGCTCAGACAAAGCCTCACTGCAACTGGCTTTTTCACGGAATCACAATAACTTGGCGGCGCTCTTTGACCGTAGTTGTTATCGCAGTACACCTCTCTAATTTGTTGTTGCTCGCCACAGAAGCGCGAACACTAAATTTAAAAGAAGGTCAGTAAGTGAAAAAGTTAGAAATTAGAAATCATTAGTCAAAATGTTAGTTGGTGCTTTCTGGAGCGTAAACGTAGATAACTGAATTGAACTGAACTCTCACTGTTTGTCTGGAAAACACGTGATTCATTTTATGCCATCTTCGGGGACCACAGTACACGACATACATTTTTCATCTCAACGCTAAACAGGTTATGACTAAGCCAAAGGGTCAAGCGCCAACGCTACGTAGATGGAGCGAATTTCTGTCAGCCACTAGCCCTTGAAGCAGTCGAAAAGGCCTGCTATGAATCCCGGCATACTGAGATGACGAAGCGGCAGTATCCAAGAGCTAACAGATTGTTTCATCCACTTAAGTTTGACCTGCTTAAACGGAAGACACTAAAACCGCCAATCTGATGAACGCAGGCGTTATTTACGCCTTAAGAGAATATGGTGAAATTATTACACTATTATTATACTTATTCAAGTATATCTACCGTTTGGGTATACAAAGACTGCTGTTCAAGAGTCTTGTCTGCCAAGAGCATGTTTCTCAGATATCACCATCTTTTCTAACCCTATTTTTGATAATTCCGACTTTGCAAATATCGTTCTCGCATTGTTTGCTATGATAATGACCTCTGGCTGTCTGCAATAGCAATCGGACCAAGATAATTGGGCATTCCATTCGTGCACTGGTCGTCATGCTGAAAATAGCACATAAGAAGGTGTCTGTAGACCAGACGTAAACAATTGGTTAATTGATGAGCGCTATTCTGACATTTGGAGCCAAAAAACCTTTTGGTTCCAAAGGTAGGATCAGCGACGAATGACAAAAATAATTTCCAAAGCCCAGCCAGCCCTACGCCTTGAAGAAGGATCGTGAGACATGGGACGAAACGTATGTGCTGGTCACTCATCAAGTGACCAATAGGTTGCGTTGTATATAAAAACACCGTGTTTTATGCCGTTTTCAAGATGATGTGTAATATGCGCTGCATTCTCAGCTGTCTAATACTTCAGCAATAACGAAACGTCTAGGGCATCGTGAAGGAACAGTTCCTTTCCCAATACAAACTGTCTTACTCTTGTCCATCCAAGGAACCTGCTTGCCTCCGCCTCTACGTCTGTCTTGGTTTAATATCTACTAACTCTCAAACTTGAGTGAAACATCTCTTCTCAAAGAATTTGTCTAACCATACCAGCTTGTATTTCCCAAAATGCACCTACACTGGAATGGGAGATAATGATAATTCCATATTAATTTTATGAATTCCACCCTAGTGATGCGTCTAGGTCAGCGCTGTTCTACTCCCTCTCTTTCGTTACAACATGGATCACTTTGAGGTAGGCATTCTTACACTTTTACAACTAGATACAATCACGGGTACCCTCATTTCGGAAAAAAATTGGTGTACTGCTGATCACTGTATGCCAATAGCTAGAAGCGCCTCATTTTACGGCAATTACAGACAACGATAAATGCCTTATTAGAGGGTATGCATACAGTTACATGTGGCACTGGTACACACTGCCGCCTCTTGCTTTCTCATTTACATATCTCGAAACAGAGTGACCCTCTATGCAAATAAAACAACGCAATCATAATGGATGTAGCGCATAACCGAATTTTTGGTAATACTTTCTTAGGGCAAATACTGAACTGACTAGCGAAGCCGCAGAAAGTAAAAGCAACTCTTACTTAGCTCTAATTTGGTGGGACATAAGCCGAAGACGATGAAACTGAGGTATTTAAACTCATCAGTTCATTCTATCGTTTTGCTTCTTATTCAATGGATAGGTGCGTTCTAAGCAGCAAGTAACATAGTGTCGAATCTCTCCTTACGTGCGCAAACACGATATAGCTTATTCTAATTAGTGGCGAAGACAGCGACGAACACGTGCCTACCCCTTTACCACTGGCTAGTGAAGCAACAACGAGAAACGATAAGAGGGCTACCTATACGTCTGAAATATCTCGTACATACGGGTAAAAATGGAGAGTGCGATGTAAGGTGATCGTTTCTGAGCGGAAGAACTGTTTTCTAAGAAATAGGCCCTTCATTTCTATTCTTCAGTTAATATCCTGAATGCAACCGCTTCCTGCTGTGATGAACTGTACTGTTAAACAATGCTATTAATAAGCTATATGGAGGAATGCCATACATTCGGAGAAACATGTGGCTGCTCAGTCAGTGGAGGAATAAAATATGCCCCATGCATTTGAGCACCACCATGTAGAGAAGCATCACCATTTGGATATTATTCAGCAACCGTTGCAGCAAAAGGTTAAAAACTTATGATTAAAGCTGAGAAGAAAGAAAACACCTACCGGAGACCACTCGCCCGTTACCCATCGGTAAAACGGACATGCTTGCATGTGGCAAGCGGACACACTTGGTGGTTTTTCCTGTCCATTGCATTTGGAGTCGTGGAGGATCTTGTGCCTGCCGAGCCAGCAGTGGATCTTGCGCGTTCGAACGCCCTCGCCGCATGTTACCGAACACTGCGATAGAAAGAAGTCAGTGACTGGTGATCGAGGAAAAAACGTCGACTTACGTGTGACCAACCTTGTGACCTCCACTTTGGACAACTGGACGTCCGGCAGCGATGGTAGACGGCTGGTTTCTGCAGGTTGGCACAGTACAGGTCGTCGATTTTGGCGCTGGAATCGCGATTGAAGCAGTATACTTCACGGGTCCGCACGCCGCGCCCACAGGACGAGGAACACTAGAACAAAAATGCTGTGCATAGCGGCTGAGACATGAGGCAAAGACACGTTCACGATAAGCACATGGCTGAGACATGAGGGTCGAAAGCAACGACGCACAGCGATACGGATGCCGAGAAGAGACCGTCACACTTACCGTTGAGGGCGACGAGGGCATGCCGACGAAGCACCTGTTAGTGAACAGAGCTCAACTGCGCCGAATATTTCAAGTTGAGTTTCGAACGTGTCATTGAGCGGTTGCACAAAGAGAAACAAATTTCACAACATGGAGGTTCAAGGTGATTTACACATGCGCTCACGCACGCACACACAAATGACCCACTCAGATCGCGCATTGGCATTTTATTGAATGGCAGCAAGCTCCAACTCTGAGTAATGGCAAGAAGTGTAAGACAGGCTGCTTTCACACCAGTAAGACAAAGGTAAGCCGGTAGACACGAAGGACCAGAACAAAACAAAGGAAAATGACACGAAGGGGAGCGATGTGACGTCCCTCGGTTCGTTATGACCAGAGATAAACAAGAGAATCAAAGAACCATAGACTAAGAGACGTTCACGAGAAACAAAACGTTTACTTACATCATGACTCGAACACAGACACGGGCACGGACAACAGACACAACATGCACACCAGTAAATGACAGAACACAGGTGAACAGAGCCGGTGGCGTACACATACGGAAGCAACGATGAACAAAACAACGATAGCAAAACACGAAGTAGCAAAAAATAAAAATAAGAAAACAAAACAGAGGACATCGTTGCCTAACGGATGATGACGAAGAGACGTTAGCGACGACAATGGTGGCTGGAGCAGCACGAACAACGCCTTTACATCGCCGACATCTGAACACGAACAAGGGCACTTGTCAATAAGCACCATACTTAGCGACCACGTAGGACAAGAAGAAAAAACAAATGAAAGGAGCGCCATGGCGGCAAAGGCCACAGACGAACGTGTATCGCGATGCAAAGCATGTAATCACATAACATGGACAACAGGGAAACGGTAGCGAATGCCTGAACGGTTCGAATAGCAGCGGTAAACAAAACAAAGTTCCTAGATGGGTCGCTACTATCGCCAACCTACCGGAGACCACTTCCCTGTCCGCCAGATCAGGCGACGCACAGGGCACTTCTGGGTGCTGCAGGAACGCATGGACTCAGGCATGGCCGCTTTGCACTTTTCGTTCGGCACCCGATTGCCAGCGTCCGTCACACACTCGACCAGGCGCACCTGCTGTCCGCCATCGCACGATTTTGAGCACTGCAACAAAAACGGTGGTATAAAAAAATTAGGGTTCAGGAAAGGCCATAAAACATGCAATACAAAAATAAACAGCTCAAAACTCGCACTAAGGAATAACACGCACAAACACCTATACCTATACAACTGAAACTATAGCCAGAAACGTGAAACTGCTCCTCTAGACTTTTACAGAACCAAAACATTTCGCAGTGGTACTTCACGCGATGAGAGACCTACTTAAAGCTCAACTACATTACTTTAGCCACTATTGCAAAAATCGTTGATAAACGCCCGTGGCTACCTTATGCAAAAGGTATGTTTCAAGACCAACGAATGTCATTTGCTTTACTTTGAAACACGATCGTCATTCATACCCTTTCTTAATCGACGGTCTATCAGCATTTTATTGCGAATGGACGACTTCTGCACGAAAATGTGACGTGCCTTGCGATTTCTGCCCCTGTAGGACAGGTTACCGAGATGTAACAACAATCTGGATCCGCGAGGTCAGGATATGTAACATGTGATATGCGGAAACTTACGGAACAAAAATGAATTACAGCGGTCGATAGAACAGCGCTTTCTATTATTCATCTGTAAAGAACGAACTGCCAAAATATATTTATGGAATAACACCTCTTAATGAGTCAATTATGAAAAGAATCAACAATACTTTGAACGACACTCAATTAATCTTCAGGCAGAGACAACTGACAGAATAACGCTTCAGTATAGAAAGCATAATAAAGTACTAAGCTGCAAACACCTTGATCACGGTTCCAAAATGTATTTCATTTCTGTGTTAACTGCTTCAGCTACAAAATGACATTTACCATCCACAATAAAAGCACAGTAATGTAGTTGCAACCTAACTGTATATTAAATGTCTCAATATTTTACAATATTAATTATTCCTGCTACGTTACGGTTCGAAAGTGCCGCGGTAGCCCGCGTCGGTAAATTGAAACGGCGGCGTGCATACCACTTGCCAATGATACCTTTCAGCAACCAAAATTCTACAAACTGCACCTCTTCTCCGAATTCGTTAAGCAAGAGTTCATGAGGGTGTGGTAAAATTAGTACTGAACTAATGGTTCGAATCGTAACAATTAAAAATAGAAAATCAGACGCACAAGAAAAAAACGTATGTTGCTACAACACTTAATGACGTTCTTTGTCAGAATGAAATTAATATCTCACGAGCCACAGTGTTCGTCGCGATAGCCTTCAAAAGATGTGTTCTGCTCACATCGTCTAGTCGTCTAGTAAATAGATAACGAATTTTTTTCATGTGCAATTACATAATATGTGTTATAATTTATCATTACCATAAATCTTAATTATAAGCTTCATAATTAATTAATAAAAGCAGGAAGCTTAGCTCAGTATAACAAACACATCGCGACATTCATGTGGGGTCTGCTGGCTTATGAGTAATATAATAAAAACCACAACATGTTTCTTATCCGATTTTTTCTCTTTTATCGCGTACTTCTTCATTGAGTAGACTACTTTTACAGGAGGAAACTAGACATAAAATTTTCTTAATTCTTAACCAGCCTATTTCATTGTTAAAATTTGCCTCTCATGAAAAATGTTCGATTATCAAAACTAGATTTCCCCCTGCATGTTCTGCAGCTTTACATCAGCCAATTACACGTTATCCTGAAAAGGCACAGAATAAATGCTTTTTATGATTAAAGAATAGTCCGATAAAAAGCTTCTATAAAAGTAGTAGTTCCTTTAGTCATCCAGCGAAAGGCAACGTTATCCAAGGGAAAACGCACGACATGTTTCTGGTCGACGAAGCATCGTGGTCTGTCGAGAGGTGGGCAGTTCGTGTAGACATACGCAAATCCGATGTTGCAAGTAACGATGACGGCAAGCGGCGACCGTCGAATGCCATTGGTGTAAAGTAGGTGCACGAAGAGGGCGAAGTCGAGTTGAAGCGAGGATCGAGGAAGCTGAGGTTCCGCCGGCACAGAGCCAGATGAAAACGCGCAAACCATAGGTACAGTAGAAGCGGCGGTGCAAAATCGCGGACGCGCGCAGCGAAGCGAGTGGAGGCGAAACAAATAAGGCAGCAAAAAGGTTCAACAACGAAGCAAACGAAGCAAATATCAGAGAAGCCCCTGAGCTTTGGCCTCCGGAATGATTTCTCGTCGTCCGCCGTATCATTATACAATATTTAATGAGGTAAACTTTACTGTGGATGTTCAGGCGACTGACCAAAACAAGCAACCAACGAAAACAAATCAGTAAGCGGTGGACGGACGGAAGAGTGACCAGACCGAAAGCCAAACGACACAGGAGGCCCTCCAGGAATCAAAACAAGCACTAACTTGCTTCCAGTCACCGACTTTCCATTTATAGCATTTTTTTCCTTGGCAAAGCTGAAACGCAGGCGGTTGGTGCTCAAGCGGACAGTACGACATAAGGCTAGGTCCTACTGCCGGTAAACAGACAATCAGTCGCTGCTGCCAACCGACGCCGCAGTCGCTCGAACACTGTTTACGTAAATAACAACGGTATGAGTGACATATCACGAAATGATAAGCTAACACGCCGTCGAAGTACTACTGGCTAGTGGACGGCGTCGTTTCGCTACGTATGTGACTGTAAAATACTTACTTCGCTCCATTCACCGGCGAACCATCTAAACGGGGCCGTCTTTTTGGCAGTTCGGTTAGAATTCGATAACGGTGGTGACGAGGATGAGGTAGAAGAGGAAGACACCGGACATGTGGGTAGTGAGCAGCTTTTCTCACGGGGCGGCTGACTAGTCTTATTGCACTTAGACACGTCGATCTCTTCGCCGGTTTGCACTGACAAACACACAACTTTGCGCTGCACTTTCGCATGCACGCCGCAAGTCGAGGAGCACTGAAAGCAACAAAGCGGTCGTCGTTTAAAACGTGTTCTTCTGAAGCAAAATAATAGTCAGTCAAATGCAAACGTCGTATATCATCGTATGGCGCAGAGTGCATGCGTTCAAAAGGTGTTGCTTTACATTCAAAGCTCGGATGCGGGGTTGGGCTCAAGCACGTGTAGTTATTAAAGATATTTGTGGGATTGCCCATTAAATAGGTAGGATCAAAGCGAAAACCAAATAAACAGTGCACATCGAAGAAAATAACAACCTCATATTTAATGACTGCAACAGTTAGTACGATAGGTGAATGGCATAACGACTATTCTACAGTCATACTGACCTTCCTTGTATGCTACAGTTATGTACAGTGTGTGAGATCTGTGTTCTAACGATTTCTAGACTTTTGCTGTAGTGTCTAAATGCTCGACATCGTATAAAAAAGATTACTCGTTTATTACATGTGTGGTGAAGAATCAAAATCAAAATGAACGACGACGTTCGCTACGAGGTTCTAAGAGAGCGAATGCCTGGCATTTAGTATCTGACAGTCTGGCCCTCAATTCAGTTAAAAACGATCGAAAATTCGTGAATAGTTCTTGATCCTGAATCTGATTACTAAACAATGGCTCAGCCCCGATAACTTCATACATTTTACCAGTTCATATAAGTAATTATAAGCAACAGATGTCAGTACAAACAGATTTATGCAGTAAAACAAAATGTTATAATGACCGATGCCCATTCAGATGAAAGGGTTTGTGAGTTGTTTTTAAATAGAAAAATACTTTTGTCAATGCAGTTAACTGCTTTAAAGAGAATCTCTCACACCTCTCCGGAAATCGTTATTATTATTCATACCTGAAAGTGATTCACCTACATTATAACAAGCAATATCATTTCAGAAGATAGCACATGAATGTGTAACCTTAATGTCTGCAAACAAAAATGCCATAATATCCGAACATTTTCAAAAGTCAGGGCTGAAAATATCAAAGCTGTTCAACGCTGACCAGCGAATAACTCATGCTGACGTTCTCTGTTCTCCAAAATCACGAATGGCGAGACAGTCTTTTAGCCATTTATTTTTTTTTACTTTCTTTCCCTGTCGTTTCCTCACTTTTCTCATTGCATGCTTAAAATGAGTCGAATGACAATAAGATTAACTTTATATGCTCCCAAAGAAAACAAACCACTTCATGGTTTGTTGTATCCTTGAATTTGCGCTACTTTTGGAATATTAAAGCAAGTCGTCTGAAGCACATCGTCTGAACGCCCAGACAGACTATCGTTTCTTCTCCTTAACTGTCCAACATTCACAACGGTAGGTTGTGAGGTCTCCGAAGTATGACCATAGGCATTCCGATGCTGTACCTTCATAAGTGCCGTCTATCGTGCCAATCAGATGCATGAGCGAATTGTGGTCGTGTAGTCACAATTTGTCCATAATCGCAAAACAGTACTCTACTAAGCAACAATTTTCTGACAGAGCTGGATGCGTTGTCATTTAATAGTACAGGACTATCGGACTCTCCTGCAATAGTTTAAACTGTGGCCAGTCTTTGACCTGGCAATGCAGCGTGATTTTTCGTCACTCCGGCAAGGTTACGAACTATGGTTATTGAGGTGATGCCCTTGCAGTGGCTGTAAACAGTCGCTTTACTGGCGATGTATTAAAGACGATTACGGGACATATGAACGATACAACTCACTTGAGAAGGCAAAATAACTGTTAGTTATTTTGGAACGTACACCGCGGGAGACAACAGTTCACTGCCTCAGCGATCCCCATGCCGAACAATAGTAATCTTTTCGTAAATTATATTAAACCTCTATACTGCCCAATGGCTTACATTACACTTTGTAGGTTTCCAATCTGCCGAAGAAACATTTTTTTCGATACTCCATGAGGGGGTATGGTGGTAATGCGTAAAAAATGCGTACTACATAAGAACAGTGTTTATACGATCGCAGTCATACTACTGACCTGAATCGTAATCAACAATTATTGAATGGGCATACATAGAGACTAATTGTTGCCTAAGATTTGCGAACGTTTGACAACAATAAATGGCTGCAAAATGAACAGTATCCACTTCCTGCTACAAGAACAAATTTTTGTATAAATATTCATTATTCATCCACGGAGACTAGTGGAACCCGAGATGAAAGATCGAGCCTGTCTAGTGATCAACGACAAGGCGAAGTCATTTGTCATTAATTTTACAAAACGTCAGCAAATTGGAATTCACAGATGTTCAGAAGCAAAATCGGATACTTGCTGACTTCTTGATAAAACAAAAACTGCTAAAAGAAAATCCGAACTGTTTTCCTCGATGGCAGCCAAAGCTGTTTGGCGGAAGCTCAAATAAATGCTTTAACCATAGGCTTATGTATCATATCTATAGCCACTAAGTCGCTAACATATACTACGATACTAAAACAGGGAAATACATAAAGATAAATAAATTGAAAACAAATGTTCAAACATGACGTAGACAAAATTCATGCTTCGCTGAGAATCAGCATGTATCCGGAAGTCAGCTCATAACCGTAAAGCAACCTAAAACGTCTGGTGAAAATGAGCATGATGTTTCCGACGCTTCGCCAATGCACTGCCGTTCGTCGCATAAATGACGTCGTTTGTAACGGCGTTCTGTGACTGCTTCGTTTTGGTGGTACAGTGCGCAAGAGATTGGCCTCGAACTCGAACTTCGGAAGTGAAGAGTTCGACTCCCGCGGTCGGCAATCATAGATTTCCCGAATTCTGTGGAGCAAGGAATTAACCACTAAGATTACTCTGTATGTGGACCATTGACTCGGAACCGAAAGGTCCGAGGTTTAAGCCTCTGTCATAGTGACTCGCGTTTCTTCCTTCCGAGGTTCATAAATGACGATATTCTCATAAATGAATAGGAGGGAAAAAGAATCATAAAGATTCTGCCGTCCTTTCCACAGCTGCTGTCGATACTGGCATTAAAAATAAGACACTCCTGACTGATGACATGGAAATTGGTATCAACGCCCCTCTCATCAACTTTATGAAAACAAAGGCGCTAAAACTAGCTCCATAGTGTAAGTGTAAGGAAGACCGCCGACATTCCAACGGTTACAGACTTACCTGCCTTTGTTTTCATTTTACGATTTCATTTTACGACTAAAAAGGTTCACACCGGTTAGTCAACAACTTAAAATACGCATCTACAAAATAAGCAAACGTACGACCATGACTAAGCAAGTGTCGTTAAACAAGCTGTGAAAAATACTGATAACGAAAAAGTCACTAAACTAGATGAGTAAAGCGCCTCATTTCGATTAGTGGAAACTATGAGCTGATCAAGAAATGCACATAATCACAATGATCATCGTAATGTATTAGTTATTACAGGCAGGGAGGCTCCGCTTATTTTATCATTTTGCTCAGTGACACATTTCTGGAAAATCGCCCGTCATGAATTCTAGCCATTGTGCACAGGACAGCGCAAGAATGATAATTAAGCTGTCACAATGACCATAAGTGCCAGCATTCAATTCTGAGAACTGCTAAATAGTGCTCGGATCATATGGCGATCCTTCGAACAACCAAGACCGTAAATTCATGGAAGTAAGTCGAACGTAGGAGCCAATTGGCCTTCTCTAGGAAGAGGAAAAATATAAGAGGTGCAGTTTTCCGTGTTTCGAATAAAATGTTCAGTTGGCGCTTACGATAGTCGACGAATGGTTGGTGAAGCATAATCGATTTTGATTTTCCTCTGAACTTATGCGTGCTGTCACCTACATATGATAAGTAATCATCGGGACGCCGAAAGACCGATGGCTCCTGAAAACGGCAGTCAAAAACGTTAGAATTGTCCAGCAACAAATCATCGATTTTTTAGGAATAAATCACCACGACTTGTTTTAAAGTCGATCGCCTACCATTTGCCATGGTCCTGCATGCCATCTGCCACACGGTGGCATCGTGCAGACCTGCTTGCGTTCCGGAGCCGGCTCGTGACTGCAGTAGATGTTAGGCAAGACTCGCGAGTAAACGTCGCGACATGCCACGTAACGCCGCTGTTCGCCGGACCCGCATGACGCTGAACACTACATTTCAAATGGATGAAACCCTGGGCATCACGTGTATTTCGTCCATCGCTTACCTCTGACCATTCGCTCACTTCCCACGTCGTCGGGCTGTCGTGTTTGTTCGGCGAGGTGCTGTCCGGCGGCGCCTTCTTCAGCGAGGTCGAAATGACGGCCGTCACCGGCGAGATGATCGCCGAAACCATCAAACTCCCGGTATCGCAGCTGGGCCGTTTACACTATAAAGATTAAGGTAATACAGCCGGAAACAGAATAAGATAACGAAGTCACACTTAATGCAAATGCACGTTTCTGAACTGCAGACATACCGCCGAGTCACTGATCTAGAAACAAGCCAGAAAAGGCAATAGAAGCGTTCGAATGGTCCATTCTGACAAAATGAACGAAAAGGAAATGTGAAGTATTTCTTCCGGAGTACAGTGTTTTGTGATAGCCCAAGCAGTATCAGTCACTAATTCGTGTAACATGTCAGAAGTCACCCATCGCAGGGATTGTACATCCGATGGTCGTTGCTGTCATCACTTGGCGCTCAGAAGTCCTCATTGACAAAACACTGCATGTTGCAGCTGTTAAATGATCTTCACCATTAATAACTGCTTCTCCTTTCGGGTCGCGGAGGCAGACGCGTCAGACACTGATTCCAACGATGTTGATCCTGTGCCAGAATCTGAGTTTCTGCAGAAGACAACTGGAGCCTGGAGCAGACTCCTCCCATATATCTGCCCCAGGTTAATCTTGGTCGTCACTTGGGACTTCTGCCGATCGACTGGGCAAGAAATAGTCGCTGTTATACTGACCAGCTATAACAGCCATTATAGCTGTTAAATGTAATAGGTCAAAAATGACAGCATCATATATGACACGTCATGATTGATGCAAACAGTAATGAAGTGCCAGCCCGTCTTTGACATACAGAATCTAGTGTCTTCTAGGGTGGATAACTGTTCATCGGTAACAGAAACGACAATGCAGCTGCACGTTTGATCACACTGTATAACTGTTTTAAGTATCTCCAGCACGACAGTAGCGCGTGAGTATCTTCATATGACAACAAATCTTAGAACCGCTAAGGAGTGGACCTTCATCGCAGCAAATCCGTTCGGTGAGGTGCCTTCTGTCATATTTGTTTCCGGGGAACGAACGCACCCTAACAGCAATTGGAATGCCAAACTTGATATTGAAGCAAAGAATCGTTGGAAATATCTTCTGCAGCTGATATGAATAACTTCAGTAAAGTACTGCTGTAAGCAACTGGGCGTCGCTTTTGGATCGAAACCCGTTGGTGCCTTGGTGAAGTTTTATTACAGCCCTTGCATTCCTTATGGTTTATTTGATGAACTCGTGGTATATTTGACTGATTTATTAGCTCTACAGAGATTACAATACAAACCAATGATGGACAACGTCGAAAACCTTCTCGAAGTCCAGGAATTCGAGGTGGAAAGAAAGATGACATTCGTTGGTTCTTTCTGGCACTTTGCGTCGCATCTGATGGTGATCCATCGTACACGTGCAATGCATATACTTCTGAAAACAGTTGCGTTTCATCAGAACCAATTAGGCTGAGAGCTGATTCATTTTTCAGTGGCCTCACAACTTAGAGCCACCTCCACTACGCAGACGTGGACCTTGGGCTGGGAAAGGAAGGTGGCAAAACTCACGTCCATCCGAAGTAAAAATAAACAACTGAATAAAACGAAATGCGCACTCCAATGATCACAGCTTAAAACAGGTACCTCTCGCATTATCTTTGGCTTTCGATTGTGACTGCAAGCCCCTTCCTGAGCGACGATGCGCTGATCCGCGTAAACGCAGCGAATCGGGCGCCTTTGGTAACCAGTGCCGCAGGTCACTGAACACTGAATGACTTGCATTTATTAAACAGATCCACTGATACTCATAATTAAAATGTACCATTTCCCATGGTCCAACTTCCCATTCTGGGCAAGCGACGAGTTGACACGTCTTATATCTTTCAGGTTCTTGCAGATCCTTACAATAGCCAGCGTCGACCACTTCGTTTTTGAACACACATTCTGTCACTCGAGTTTGGGTACCATTGCCACAAGTAACAGAGCACTGAAACAAGTGTAATGGTTAATTTTTATTACTCAACAAAAAGGTCATGAATAAGCATGAAACAAAGAAGGACAAGTACAACTTAGAAACAAGCAAAAACTAAAGAAACGCTATGAATTCAAGCAAACTGGACCTATACATTACAAATGTTTCTGAAAAGGAATGATCAAAATTTCGCTTTAGTCCGAATTATATGAGAAAACGCGAGGAGACCTTGCCGCATCTAGAATGAAAACCAGTGAAATCTGACTTTAGAAAAGTTAAAGCTCATACTGTCTCTACTCTTAGCAGAGCATGACCGCTGGTCAGACTAGACTCTCCCTGATGGACGATATAAAAACATGAAAAAAATATGTCCTTCTAACATATGGATGTTCAGGAGCTGTGAAATTTTCCTCTATGTGCGTAAGTCAGTAACTTTGCCGAGGCCGGGTGTCGTACAAGCATTCCATCTGGGTCGGGTAAATGTTGCTCATACTTCAGTCCTTACCACGTCATGTCAGGCGGCCGCCAGCAATCAGGCCTTGAGTCCAGTACTCAGTACCCACAAGACGGCTATCGTTTATTCACTGGCAGTTACCTTAAATGTCTTGTTTGTAGCCAGTGGGCCTCTTGAACATTATATTTTTTTATTTCTGCTCCTGTAACAGCGTTTGATACCAGTTCACTCCTAAAATGTAGACGACTGAGCTGAGAAACTTAAATTGGACAACCACCTAAAGTGCTTCACGTTCCGTTTTCACTCGTAGATCAGCAGTGACCGATGGAATTTTCGCAACTTTCGATCTCCGAGCGTAAGAGAAGAGGGCATCTTTCATAGCTGTGCTGCATACAGAAACCGTCAGGTGACAAAACCGTCTTCAGTGCTACTCAGGAAAAGAATATCACCTACGTACCCCAGGCTAGTGAGGTATCCAGCCGGATGTTTTGAGCTGCGCCTTTCGTCTAGAATAAGAACTCTGTCTTTGCCAGGGCCCGCTATGTTTCGAATGAGAAAGTAGGGAATAATATTGAGTAGCAAAGAAGAAAGTACAGTTCCCCGGCAAACAAAGTTTATAAGGAACCACTCTGATAACTCGTCAACTTTGACAACAGATATGGTTATTTTCGCCCCTTTGTGCCCCTTTCATTGTACTCTAAAGACGGACCGTCCGAAAGGTCAGATGTCCCTAAATAAGAAAAAATAATTTATGCATTGTTCTTCCGCTCGTGACTTTTCAAAAGATTATATCATCTCCCGCATAAAGAAATCATGCATGATTTTCAATAATATTATTAATGTGATATATAAAATCTCCAATAAACCTAATGCTTTATTAACTAACTGTGATAATGACAAGTCTTCGGGTTGAATGTAGAAATTACCAGCGACCGTGAGAAATGTTACAAAGGAGAAACCGGAAACACCGAAACACTGAGGAAGCAAAGACCCATCGCTCAAAGTGGAGAAGACATGAGGCAACAAAGCACTCAGAAAGGAAACAAATTCTTTCTCATAACAAGATCAAAGAATAGTGTGAAAATATTTCAGGGATCGAGCAGCTTGCAGCAGAAAAACGCTATGTCCCCAAAGCTTCGATTGTGCGGACATGTTTAATCAAAGAAACCGGATGAAAAGACGAATCAAAGAAGATTTAATTATCCAATCCAACTAAAATGTCAACAGGAACAAAAGATAGGAACTCTGAGTAGATTGGACAAGCCTTGTCAAGCCCGTGACCCAAGTTAACTAGCCA